ATCAGCACCATGACAACTGCTATGGACTTCCTTTGTAGGCCCCAATCTGGCAGTGGGCTGGATCTGGATACTTCTGTGGTTGGAGGAATGGGATGACAGTCAGTGTACTCAAGCAGAAAAATAAATTGTCTAGGTGGTAACTACATTGTTCTATCACTCTCAGTGCAGACATTCCAGGTCAAGGTTATAGTTGTTTTATCCTGTTTTAGTATAAGAAAACAGGAACTTACATATTGGTGTATAAATTGAACTGTTGTCCACCCATCTGCTGCTTTTAATAGTGAACACCATTAGATACTCCAGAGAATGATGCAAGAAAACTCCACTGCAGGCAGATCTTAGGTAACCTGTCTCCCTATGAAAATCTTGTCCTTACCTTTAAATGTGGAATATTGGCTTAATTCTATGACCATTATCATTTATATCCTCTCCAAAACTCTAGTTTCAAGATTATTATAATTTGTTACATTATTAACAGCTAGATAACTGTCCACTGCCTCTCAGCTTTGATGAATACTTGGGCTCAATGACATCCAAGGTCAGTGAGTTCCACAGTTTCATTATGTATTACTGTACAAAGGATAGACCAATGGGTCAGAGTGTATACGATGTTCTTTTTTCTCTAAATCTTGTCATTTTTTTTTCTGCATAACTGACTAATAAACAGCTTTTTCTACCTATCCATGCAGTTCAACTTTACTTCACCCTTCCATTATCTTGTATCTTGGTTATCTGCAATCACTATTGACCTGTTAATTTACCTACTATTGGCCCATGACGCCAGCCTCCGTTAGCCACTAATTACATTTTTAAAAATGTTTGTGCTTTCTCCTGTATTGGTACCTCATACCTAGGAATACCTCCTATAAAACCATGAAGTCCTTCCATAACATTCTCTGATAAAACCATGACACTTATAAAAATTGATAAGTTAGGTCACTGGTGTACCAGTTTCACTGCTGATCACGCTGACAAATATTAACTCATTATTTCTTGTACCCTGACATTGTTTTGTCTGGTCTTACATTGAGTTAGTAAATGTGCAAGGATCATCCTTTTGTTGAATATTTGTAACAGCACCCAGTACAGTAGAGTGCTACACATGACTAGGGTTCCAAGGCACAATAGTAATAAATAAAATATTTTTTTGTAAAGTAATGTTAACATAATGTCATGCAATGTAACATCCCTTCCACAGCTTTCCTTTGTTACTTACGGTAAAATCATTTAGGTCCATGTCTTCAGAGATAAGCAGACATTGCATTTTCAATGAAATCTTGGCCTTAATCACTGTCTTTCAGTTCTCCATCTGTAAGATAACAGCACTTTCATGCTTTTTGTGAATGCTGCAAGGACAAACACAGTAAGAATGTGAGGTGCTCAGATACATAAGTGATAGTGTCATATAAGTACCTAAGCCAAATGTATTCATTTTGAAATGCTTACTTTTCTGTTTCATTGTTCTTGTGTGATGAGTCAAAGAAAATTCCCAAGCTATGGTATTTAAACATACTTTTATTCTGCCTCTTTCTACTCATCTTTTTCCTAAAGTAAATAACTCTTTTGCTTTAATCCTGTCTTCCTGGAAGGCTTCCCCACAAAGTATCCTGGAACCTGCCCATTTGTTAAATCCTTTTTGAATGGAGGGGCCAAAGCTCAGCAGTGGTTCAAGAACAACCAAGAGTCACTTTTAGAAATTTTACTAAAGAGAAATCTGAAACAAACAAGCAAAATCTTCTATAGATAAATGTAACCTCAAGACTCTGGCATGAGCGGATATAACACCTTTTGAAGTTGGCTAAAGAGTTGGGGGTTTTAGTCTTGTATTAGGGTGGGGAAAAATGTGGACCAAGTTTCTGTGGAAACCAAAAATATAGCAACTTTGAGGTTCTTCAGTGCAAATCTAAATGTGCTCTCCTAGAGGGGAAAAATATGTATGCAGGTGAGATGTTTACTAAAAAAATAAATATGTAAAAGAAACTCCTTCCTAATTGACTCCGATAAATACACCCTAATTACCCAGATGTTGGCAATTTCGTAAGAAGTGGGGAGTGAGTTTAAATGCAGTTAAATGTTGGCAAGGCAGCAAAAAACAAACAAACCCCAAAATGCCACAGCATCCATGCAACATAAAAGCGTTTGTTAACTGGAAATGGATGGCTCTCCCATGAAAGGCCTGACACTGAGAGCTCGTCTCTTCAGCCTTCAAGAACTGAAAAGCCATTGCTATACAGGTGCATCTCTGCCCTGCCTTTCACCTGATTTCAGACGAACACAGATAACCACCTCTCTCTCCTTCAGGCCAGTTGTCGCCTAGTGGTTTTCAGAACCTGCCAGCCCTACAGACTTTTAAACAAATCCTTTAAAGTCTTGGGAAAATGAAAGTTATCTGGTTCTTCCCTTACGACGAGGTGTGAAGCCCCAGGAGGTGCAGGCTCTGCAGAGCCTTTGAAGCACAGCTCTCTGGGCACAACCTCCCAACCAGCCTTGGCCTGAGCCCTGATGCAGCTAAGCAGGGCTGAGCTCGTCTACTTTCCGAGGGCCTGCTCCATGGTGTTAAAGCCTGGGGCTGAGCAGACTGGAGGAGCCCCGCAGAAGTAGGGCTGCAAGAGGCACTCACAGCCAGCGCAGGGCAGGACCTCTCTGGCAGAAGACCTCGGCTCTCCAAGTTCCCGCCTCAGGGCCCGGAACCAGCAGTGCTGGAGCAGCGCTCCGCCCGGCGGAAACCCCTGGACACCCGGATGTCACCCTCCCCCCAGGGGAGCCGCACGGAACGCTTTAATGAGAGCAACGTTCTCTCCCTGAGAGCGCAGGAACAGGCCAACCACAGCGGGGAGGGGTCGGGCTTCCAGCCGGGCCTTCCCACTGGTTGGCTAGGAGCGAGGCGGGCGCGGAAGTGGGCGTGGCCTCCACGCGAGCTGGGCTCCAGCCGCAAGCATGGAGTCTCGGAGGAAGGTCAGCGGGAGCGGGGGGCGCATGCGCAATGGGCGGGCGGTCGCTCTCGGTGTCTCCCTGGCAACGCCCCGCCGCCGCTGGGCGGGCGTGATTGGGGCGGGGGGCAAGGGCGGGAAAAAGGGCTTGAAGCCTTGGGAATAATGGGGCTGCCCCAAGCCTGGCACAGCTAGAGCTGGGCCGCGCCCCCTCCCCTGGGCGTGGCCGGGCCGTTCCTCCCGGGCGCCAGATCGGGACCAGAAGCCAGGCCTCATAGACCGGGTCAATCCGTGCGGCCTGTGAGGAAAGGCTGAGCACCGCTGCGTTACCTCGAGGCCGCGTCATCCACCCCCTCCTCCTCACGCCTGCTTTCTAGACTTGTGGGGAGCCCCCGCCACCGCGCGCTGGACCAGGGGCTCTGTCGCAAGTGGCTGGGGCAGGCCGGGGTCCCAGGGACCAACCCCTGTGCATGGGAGGGCGGGCCCCAGGACCCAGGGGCCAAGCCTGGTAGGAAGAGGTGGCACCAGGGCCCATGATCCTTCCTGCAGATCGGCCTCGAGCCCCTCATCTAGCCGGCGAAGTTGAAAGGTTGAGCACCACTGTATTAGCTGATATGTGGATGATGGATGTTTCCTAGTGTGGGCACCAGAGTGGGCTCACGTTGTGTTACATAGTTAAGTAGAAGGCAGGGTATATTTGCACCTTATAAACTAACCAAAGAAGATCATAACTGGGCTGATCCGGGATGGAGGCAGAGCTTGTGACCCAGCCCCTGCTGTCCTCGCCCCAGCATGGGCGTACGGACAATTCCACTACACCGGGGCTGCAAAGCAGAGCAGCCAGGCAATGCCACATTTGCTCTGAGCTGCACCACCCCGCAGCTGTGCTGTACTGGGGTTGTCCATGCGCATGTGTGCTGGGGCAGGGGCAGCAGAGGCTGGGTCACAGGCATAAGCTCCACTCCCCACCAGGGTTCGGCCAGTCACAGTCTGTCCTGTGGGGAACAGATTGCACCTCTGTCCTGGCACTGCATTGTTGCCGCTTTGTGATCCTAGCTGCGCCTGCCTGTCCCACTCCTGGATGCCACTCCCCACCTACCTGTAACTCCATTCTGTCCACCCAGCTCGGGTGGACAGAATGCTTGCAGGGGTCCTGGGCCAGTCTTCATGGAGACTCTGCCCACCCACCCACTCTGTCCAGGTCCCCGGGTGGTGGGTATGGCACAGGCAGGCCAGGGTGCCCAGGCAACAGAGTTGGGTCCCGTGGCAATGACACTGGCTATGGCAGCTAGGAGCCACCACCATCAGGGCTTCCAGGAAGTGGAGTCTGGCTGCTGTGCTGCCCCAGTCCTGCTGTGCACCCATGCTTGGTGGGACTAGCCACATGCACCACAGCCTGGGCTGCCCCTCATGCCTGGGCTGGGTGTGGCCAAAGGACCCATCACAGGCTGCATAAAATCCCTTGGTGGGCCAAATCCAGCCTGCGGGTTGTTTTGCCCACCCCTAGCATAAAAGCTGTGGAGTAAGAATGTATTGGTCTTGTTGATGTATACCTCCTTTAATGTCTTGGTTCAATTCTAGTCACCACTGTTATCTTTTTTGACTGATCACTTCATGGGATAGTTTTAGTAGCATCCCCAGCTTATGTGTATGTTGTTCGTGGACTTAATTCTTTACTGAAGTCTTGAAATTTAAATCATTGTCAAAGAAGCTACTATCATTTCTTCTTATACTCCTTGGAGAGATTTTTGTGTTCTTGACTGGTAACAAGTTGCTTAAGCACTAAGAGAGAACTAATTAATATGAATTATTTTTTCATTTGCATAGCTTCTTAAGTTACCATGACCTTGATGTTTTTGTACATGAAGCATTCCATTATTCATTTAACCATAATATTGGGCAGTTATTAGAGAAAGGCTTGCCTTTGGATATAAAGTATTCTCAAATACTTGTTTCAGAAGTGGTTTATGCAATTTTAAGCATCTGAGGGCCAGCACTGTTTGTCACCTTTAAATGGCAATGTGTTAGAAATAACATAACTTACATTGTTTGGAAATTGTTCTGTATATGCTTTCCTTAACATTTGAAGAAGGAAGATTTCAGCGTATTTATAAAAATAATGTGGTTTCAATAATAATATTTCTAGAATTTTCCTAGGAGTTTAAAATTAAGGGTTTTTTCCCAATAAACAATGAAGAGCTGTCCTTTTATAACTTCACAAGTCTGTTAATACATCCTAAGTATCATAGACTCATAGATTCATAGATTAAGGGTCGGAAGGGACCTAGTAGATCTTCTAGCCCGACCCCCCGCCAGGGCGGGAGAACAACAAAAAACCCCAAAAAGAGAAACGGGACTCAAACGAGTCCAGCCAGGTAGGCATCCAGCCTCTTCTTAAAGACCCCCAGGGTAGGGGCCAGCACCACTTCCCTTGGAAGTTGGTTCCAGCTCCTAGCCGCCCTAACCGTGAAGTAGTTTTTGCGGATGTCCAATCTATACCTCCTCTCCATCAGCTTGTGCCCATTACTCCTTGTTATGCCAGCGGGCGCTAGGGGAAACAGCGTCTCCCCCAAACCCTTCTGGTCCCCCCTAGTGAGTCTATAGACAGTCACCAGGTCCCCCCTTAGCCTTCTCTTGTGGAGGCTGAATAGGTTCAGGTCCCGCAGTCTCTCACTGTAGGGTCTGCCCTGTTGTCCCCGGATCATGCGGGTGGCCCTCCTCTGGACCCTCTCCATATTGTCCACATCCCTCTTGAAATGGGGCGCACAGAACTGGACACAATACTCCAGCTGTGGCCTGACCAGCGTATCATTTGTTTTTGGGATATCCTCAAAAAAAAAATAGCCTCATAGTCTTCTACACACCAAAATATAAAAGTCTCATACAGTTTCTATTCTCAAGGTAAAGAGCAAGTCTTAAACCAAACTGGTTGTTTGTACAAATGGAAGGCTTCCCATTCTTTGAGAAGACACACTTTGTTAGCTTTTCTTTTGAGCAGTGGTTCCTATACTTATACTCACTGTTTATATCTTGCAGTTAGATTTTACCAATCTTTTTATGCAAGGCATAAGTCAATACCTAACTTTATTTTGAAAGATCTGTATATGAAAATAATATGAAATCTTAAGTAAAATTAGAATTTATTAATATACATCTGAGAGTCGATGTAAACATACTTGATGGTAAGAAGATTTTATTGCTGAGGATGGGTAATCGTTTTTTTGTACTTTGATGCCCATCAGCAGTTGACAGAAAGCTGAGATTTCATAGGCATGTCTTTGATTAGCATGGAGGTTACTTTTTTTTAAATAAGCAATTAAATTGTATGTATGTCAGATACCATATTCTTCATAAAGCAATTGTAAATCTTGCTTTTATTAATAACCACTTCATAGATTTCAGAGATG